CAGAGCTAAGATTCTTTTGATGTTACAGATAATTTATAGCAAAATAGTCTGGCCATAATTTTTTTTGAACATTGTGTCTTCTAGAAATGAAGAAAGCACGTCTGTGAAAGCTGTGACAGGTAATAATCCAGAATATTTGTCATTGAACCAAAGAACTAAGGATAGTAAATTCTCAAAGTAAACAGCAAAACTAAAATAGCGTTCTACAAGAACAAATACTTATAAAAGTTTGGATACAATCACCAGGAACAGTCCCTCGAGGAATTTGCCTCAAAGCTTCAACAAGATCTCCATCGACAACTTTAATATTTTGTAGAACAACGACATGTTCATAGCCACCCACTTCCATTGTCAACTCATTTTCAGTCTCTAAGAAAAATAGAGTTCAACGTTAGTAATTCTCAATCTTACAATTAGAGAACCTCCATTTTGAAAGTATTAAGAAATTCAGTTCATATATCTCTTCAAGCATAAAATGATATGAACTTTTCCAGAGTGAAATATGCACTAAGCAGTAACCAAGGGTGGAAATAGTCAAGAAACGCACTATAAAAGATATGATTTGAAACTATTTCATCTCTTTCTGTCTACGAATTAAAGAATGAATCAGACAGCACAGAAATAGGTATAATACCTTCAGTTCCAAACAGGACAACTCCAACTTCATCATACTTGCTGTAAACTAACTGCACAGTTATTTGAAGGAATATTAGCTCCTTCGGAGAGAAAAACAAATCACCGTGTTCTTTTATTATCCTAACATTGGAGAAAGTCGGATTGACTGGACACAATACAGGAGGAAGAACAGTTTATTAGTATTTAGTAATGAAAGGAGTCACAAAATTTCAGACTTTCATTGGCTTCCTTCCTCCTCTGCCGAGGAGCAAGAACATTCTCTGCCTTTACAGAAGGGATAGACAGACAAGCATACAGACTGAAGTTTAAAAACTGATGTGCCCGTACCTTCTTCTGTACTATCATTGAGCAGATTTTTTCAACCTCAGGGAGAAGATGGTGCATTGATGGTCCTACATCAAGCAACAACACCAAAGCTTCCTGACACCAAAGATTCAATATCATCATACATGCGTGCAGGGACAACTAGAAATGCCAAGGTAGAAGAAAATTGACTGGCTGAATGAACATGGATATGCAAATTAACAAGGGTATGGCTTAGTGTATGATTGGCATAGCTATAGCCGCGCTAAAGTTGGTTGTGTTATACTGTAGCTGTGCTGTGAAATCTTGTAACATGTGTTTTTGATGACATAGTTTTTAAAGTTGAAGCTCTCCAAAGTTGGATGAGGCAGCTTTAAAGAAGATGCTACAAGCTACTACAACTGTGAGGGTTCTGTAGTTATTAGGAGTTCTCCAAACACCTTATAAAAGCTACAACGCCCTTTTCATTGCCATAAGTGCTGGGGGAAAAGGTGTACCAAACAGGTTCGTAGTTGTAGGGGCTAACTTTTGAGTCACAAAAGGATGACGTTGCTTGAGATTACATACATGGATCACTGAAATAGTTTCTTTATGCGAACAAAAGACTTCCTTTTACACCATTGGAACTCTTATAGGAACCAAATATTATAAAAACAACAACACAAAACATGATCATTATAGTAATAAATATGCAAATGAAAGTATTCTTTGTGGCCACATGATAAGACAAGAAAGATCATACAGAAAATAAGCCGTCCAACATTTACCATTTCCTTTGATAAAACCAAAGTTAAACATACGGTGAGTCCAAGTAAAACTTGAATGATTAACAATGAACCTGGAAAAACTACGCAGGGTTTTCCCCCTGCATAGCATACAATTGATAAGAACTTTGATTTCCTGCTAAAATTTTAGTCTCCATTGAGTCCATGGACCATACCATCTAAGGTATATCTCATAATTAACTTCGTGTAGAACAAGTTAAGGTGATTAAACCAACTATGATTTCGCCCAAGTTGAACACCATTCACTGCATGTACTTTTGTTTCGTAGCACCTACTTTACTCCTCTTGTTAGAGTAGAATGCATAACCCACCTGTCCGAATATCAGGATTTAAGGAATTGCACGATTTATTATCTATGGAGAGCTTTTTCATTTTAACAAAAGATAACTCGCGAGCCTAGAAGTAGCTGACTGCAGGGTGTGTGCCACTTGTAAAGAATGCCCTTTCATAACCGGAATGTGATAAAGGCAAGTGATTTATCAACAGATTGCACTCTATCAGACGAACAACCGTTCAGTACCGAGCACATTTAAGGGCCTTTCAGAAGAAGCAGCTTGTCCCATTAAACCGATTAAGAAAGTCTCACAGTAGGATCACGACATCAAGAAACAAGAGGAAGCATCTCAGCTAGCCGTGAAAGTATATTGTGCGACACTCATGCCATGTGGCGATGACACATGAAGAAACCGGCTAATCAGAAGGGAGAGTTTCAAAATCCAAATGCAAATGTTGGCTGGATAAGTAACGGAAAACAACTGAGTACTTTGGGCAAGCAATTGGTGGGCAAAAGTATCAAGTTCTCGGCATTTAACTAATAAGCTGGAATGTCGAAACCAGATACTTATGCAACACCGATTGCATGCCGATATACTTGGCGGGGCCGAATTATGTCCTCTTTGTCAATCACATTCCAATCGAATTGCAGTAGTCTTTTATGATCCGACGACCAAAACACCACTACAACGAAACACCGAAATCGGTCAATTCACTACTTGCAGATAGAACCCATTCGGCGTCTTCGCGCGAGGATGATCATATAAAAAGTAACAATATCCTCACCAAGCATCAAAGAAGCCGTTCTTGTTCAATTAACAGCAATCTTTTCTCTTTTGCTTTAAACACAATAGACATCTGATCGCCGTAAAAAAAACCCAAAACCATAAACCTCGGAAACACAACAGTCGCGACAAAAAGCCGTCGCCTTTCACCGGCACACGATGTGGGCATCACCGAATTCGAACCTTAAACATAAAACAAGCGGAAGCAACCGAACCGAAACGACCAGAGAAGCGACATTCACACAACAGGAACAAGAAAGAACAAAGGAGAGAGAGACAGAGCGCGAGCAAGCAAGAACGAACACGGTCCGAGATTGATGGAAGTTGAGCAAGAGACGCGAAAGTACCTTGTTCCGAGCCATTGGAAGAAGAGAGAGAGAGAGAGAGAAGAAATGTATCAGCTTGTCAGGGAAGCTCGAGCCTCTTTGGACGAGAAGAAGAAGAAGAAGGAAGGCCGAGCGGAGAGACGTGTTGTCAATTTTAGCGCTTCTTTGTTTTGTTCAAAAAGAAAATTTTAAGTGAAAATTAACACGTCATTATGATTTTTTAGTTGACAAATTTTGAGGGTAAAAGAGTCTTCTGAAACTAGTTATGTCGAATCGTGGATGGGCTAAGGCGGTTCGATTTGCTAAGACACAAATTTTGCCGGGTTATAAACGGGATGTGTATACTATATCTAGACCCGTCGATTTTCATTTTGTTCTGTGTCACGCGAATGGATCGTGTCAAGAATTGTCGAACCTAACTGATGACCGAGAATAGATCTTCTAGTCTTCCGGAAGGTCCGATCAAGACTAGCGGGCCGAGTTCCAAAACCGGCCGTTTTTGGGCTGGCTGATGGCTTGTTACATTATATATGATGATAAGATAATTCTAGCTTAGATTAACAAAGAAATGGAAAGTAAACTATTCAAAGCAAACGGGTCTAAACACATACTAAGATAGTCATCAATAATTCATTTTGTTAATCCGCCTTCCACATTAAAAAACCTCATCGAATTGATCTTGGTTGAGCAGTGAAGGTGGGAAATTTTCAGAAAGATGAAAGCTCAAAGCTCATTTTTTTAAAGGAAAAATTTTAAGTATTTAGCGACCGTGTACTATGGTATTGATTGATTTTTCAAATTATAACTGTCTAATTAATGGCGATGAAAGTGAATTACGAAAAAAAAAATACACATACTGCATACCATATAACTTTTTTTTAGATTAGTCCAGTTCATGAGAATACCAACCATCACGTATCAAGAAACGATCCCATTATAATTGATTGACACGAACTCGAGGGAGCTAAATCCATTGCAACCTCGTACACCATCGAATTTCAATCACTCCGATTTCTAGAAATTGCACCGACCGAGTTGAGTTTTGAGCTCATTCAACCTACTGTGGGATTGAGTTCCGACTAAAGAAGAAATCGAGTGGTCGCATGACTAAAGCCTTATATGAAGACCGAGAGAAATGTGGGTCTTGAATTGGGGTGATCGGTTCATGGGCGGTCCGATTCCCGCCCATGAGTCGGGAACCGGTCCAGTCCAGTCCTTGAGTGAGCTAATAGAACCAATTGCATATTCCATTTTTTTTTATTTATCATTAATGTTCAAGATGGAATTGAAGATAGTCTTAATAATTGAGGCGTTTCTACAGTCAGTGAGTTATGCGTAACATTTTAGGTTTAAAAGAGATTTTTCTAATTCGTGGCAAAATTTGGTTGGAATAAACAATTACTATTGTGTTTTGATTTGTTCTTGTCATCTAAACGTAGTCGCTCCAACCTTGAAAAGCCATCATTTGTGAAATGGGATATAAATTATGATTTTTTTTTACAAATTTTAAAGAAATAATTATAAAAAAAAATCGGTCCGATAGGTAGGCGAATCCACATCTGACATCAGGAATCAAACCGAAATTCACTCGTTCTAATTTTATGAAATTGGAAATTTGACGAATGCCCCTCGGAACCATCTTGACCGACCAGTCTATTGTAGTCCAAGCGACTCCTTTTGCTCACCTCTAGTTTCGAACTCAACTCGACTCGACTCGACTACACGGTTGCCGAATGCAAGCGCACGTGTTCCACGCCGATGATGTTTTTTTTCTGTTTTTTGCGTGTTGGGATTGAGGAGGCGCGTTGACCCGCGGAGCACGCTCTTTTCATCTTCCTTGATCTTGATGGTTCGATGGTGCTCGAACGGTAGACCCTCCCTCATCGGAATCCCCCCATTAAGAGCCAGCGAGAGAGAGAGAGAGAGCGCGAGAGCTTTGGAGTTCAACAATGGCCGCTTCAATGGCGCCGCCGACCACCACCTCCTGCCGCTACCGGCACCCGAGCCGCCTCGCCGGAACCGACCTCCGCCGCCGCAGCAGCAGCAGGGCGTCCTTCCCCCGCATCGCTCTCTCTCACGGCCAGGACGACGAACCAGCGACGCCGCCGCCCCCGCCCCTCCCTCGCAGGTTCTCTCTCTCTCTCTGTGCGCTCGCAATTGCTCCGGATTGTGGAAAGCGTGAGGTGATTTTTTGCCTCTTTTTTTTTTCGGTTTGTTTTTTTGGCCAGGGAAATCATACTGAGGAGCAGCGAATTGGCGGTGGTCGGAGCCGTGTTCCAGTTCAGGTGCCTCCCTCATCATCCTCCTTCTCGTCGATCGTATCGTTTGAATTGCGAGGTTTCAGGACGAGCGTCTGAATCGCGGGTCGAATCGAAGAGGGACAAAATAAAGTTTTAGTTGCGTGCTGGGTTTTCGCCTGCTGAGAGCGGCATCAAGATCGTTGCTTGTTTGAGCATCGCACGTCTCCTAGCAACGCAATTCGACCCGATGAGTTTTGTTGAACGTGTTTGAATTTCCACCCATTTCCCGTGGCTTCTGAAGCTTGATTCCTCATCAAGCAAACATTTTTCACGGTGATTCGGATGCTCTAGTGGGTAGAATTGGCATTGTATGAACTGATGATGATGTTTGGAGATTGATTATGTTGAAATTTTGGGATGAATGTGGTTGCTCAATTCAATGTAGTGGGAAGAAGCCGGAGTATCTGGGAGTGCAGAAGAGCATGCCGGGTCTGGCTCTGTGTCCGGCCACCAAGAACTGCCTTTCCACTTCCGAGAACATCGCCGATCTCAACCACTACGCCCCGCCTTGGTAAGCTTCTGACATCTTCTTGTATTCTTCTTAATGTTTACTCGGTGGAGAACCAGATGCGAAACTAGTGTGTGCATAATGGTGTAGCTTCGTGATGACTAGTAAGGTTATCTAGAGATGCGGCCAAGTAGCTTGTGATTGATTAGTTCGAAAGGGCACTTCCTTGTTTGGGTGTAAGGTAAAAAACAGAGGAAGATTGAAATGGGGAAAGAAAGTGATCTTCTTTGGGTTCCTCCTCTTTCTGTTCTGGACATGTGAGTTAGAAATTGGAAAATTTGAGCTGCAAATGAAGGAAGAATCCCAATGTTGGGAGATCGGAAGATCGTGACTTAATTCCACCATAATGATATCGCCATTGAAGTTACGGAAAAGTTAAATTGATTCCTTGTTTTACATGGCGAATCTGCATGATAGGGTGGAGTGCGTAAGCTTCGACCCCATAGGTCGTATCTTCGAAAGCAAAACCAACTTCACAAAAGCAATTTGAAAGCGAAACGCATGATTGCTGGTATTGTACAGTCATGTTCTGTGGCTCTTATTTCGGAAGGAGGAAAGGGACCTAACATTCAAGTCCCAATATGATTTCAACTCTTTGTGAACAGCTATCACATTCCTAGACTTTGACATCACAGAAGACAAGTAGGAACCTTTAGTGGTTTTGAATGCTTGACACTGTAACATCACTCTGGTACTGACATATCACACTCTGTGGCAGACACGACATGCAAAACGTGCATTCAGTTTTAAGGTGCCCACTACCATGTCCACTAATCTTTGCTAGTTTCTCCCTTACCATGGCAGGAACTACAACCCCGAAGGAGGTCGCGGCCGGAAAAACCCTGTGAGTAGAGAAGTGGCCAAAGAGGAACTTATAGAAGTGGTAAAAACTTGGACAGACTCGAATTATACAATTTCCGTAAACCATTTCCATGCACCATTTGCATAGTTTTCTTACTCATTTGGCTGAATCACGAATTCCTCACATGCCACGCAGATAAAATCATTAAAGCCGGATAAGTTTACGCCGCGGATAGTCGAAAACAAGGACGACTACCTTCGAGTGGAATATGAAAGCCCAATACTCGGGGTACGTCTCTCAAACTTGAAGCATTCTGGAGATCAAGTTCTCTCCATCAATTGATTGAAAAGAGCTGACATTTGGTTGTTTAACAGTTTGTAGATGACGTCGAGTTTTGGTTCCCACCGGGAAAGAACTCAATTGTAGAGTACCGATCGGCATCAAGACGGGGAAACTTTGACTTTGATATCAATAGAAAGAGAATTAAGGTGAGTACTTTTTATTCGTCGCTACCTGGGCTAATCCTTCTTTAACTAGCGCGAAAACACCTGTTTGACGGTCGGGTCGCTTGTATCACAGGCTTTACGTTTAGAGCTGGAGAAGAAGGGATGGGCATCGCAAGACAGCTTCTGAAGAGGACATTCGTTTCTTGCATTGGCTTTCGACTAACATACCCAGGAAAAGTCGGCCGCCATTCTCGGTCACAACTTCGAGCGGGAATTGGAAGCTAATTCGAATGACTATCTCTTATTCTTCGAGGGGTTTCCAAGATTACCAACCCTGTAGCCTAATCTCTTGCTTCGGCTTCAAAACCACATTGTATCTGCGAATCCTTTCAGCTTTTGAATATCAGCATGTATAAGTAAATAATGATATATTTCCTACTAATTTTAGTCTCTAGTCTCTCTTATGTGCTAATGAACTTCACCTGCAGTACAAGTTTCTCAAGACATCTAAGTTTGTTTCAACTAAATTTGTTTCTTTCCATAAAACTACCATGAAGTTTGCTGACTGCTAGATCCATCAAACGGGTGAATCGAGTCGAAAATAGTTCAATCTAAATTGACCCAGTTAACTTGTTTTAACTCGTTTTCATGCAATGTAAATTTAGTGATCCATACCCAAGCCATTCCTAATAAACCCAACACTTTTATATTTAATCCAATATAGGAAAATTCATACCTAAATTGAGGTTAGTGAACGTAAGATCGTGCGAGGGCGAGAGAAAATGAAAAGAGAATCGTGGATTGGGTGTAAATAAGTTGCAGACCTATTTATGATCTATTTAATGTCCATATTGTGTATTTACTAAATTGCAAGTCCCCGCTATTATCCGTGATATATTATGAAGGTTGAGGCCAACAACGTGACCGCCGAATTCTCGGTCACACTCCGCACCCTCCCATCATCAGCAATCTCTATTTCTTACGCCTAGCGACAGCTATGATTCGAGCTTCAAATAAACGCAACGCAACGAGTCTACTCGGCTGATTCCAAGGCTCCTCTTGAACCATATAGAGGCCGCGCTCTCATTGACATTATACAATGGATTAGCAAAGCATGTGTTTACACCAAAAGTCGAACGACCTTTATTATCGACAAGTGGCATGCTCGGTCGAGTATTCAAGAGGTCATTTGTGAACAAGGTGGTTGATTTAAAGGGTACCAATCGCTAGCTCATTTAGTAAGACTGTCAACGACAAACTAGAGAAATCATTGACGGGCGCATCGTTGCCAAACGAAAGAAAACCACCATAGGATGTTCAAACACAGAATGAAACTTCGTATCCTTTCCATAAGACTACCATGAAGTTTGTTTACCGCAAATAAAGCACCGTCTGACAATGATATTCATCTCTCGCACAGGCATCACAATCGCAATAATGTCCATAAAGAGGCTAAAACATCAATTAAAGCCACCGGAAGACCAGATTAACTCCAGGGTGCATGCCAAAAGAAGCCTACGACAATCACCAAGGACGGTAATGACCAATGCTTGCATCGGAAGCCTTCTATCTTCAGCAAACCAGTTACAAGGACCACAGTTTCAATCCTTCCTCAGATCCATAAATTCCCGACGGAGACCCTCGGCATTCAAGATGACAATTTCCACCTTGTCTCCCTGCAGAACATCATAAAGATAAGCAAAAATATATGAACCAGCTAAAGCTATACACCAGCAAACTTCTGTTTGGGCAATATCTTAACACCTGTTTAACCCGCTATACCTTTCCACTTCCCCCACCAGCAAACCAACTCCAAGGAAAACCAGCTAAACTACACTGTGGGTGGCCTACAAGTAATTCTATTGCGGTAACTAGGAATATTCAACAATCTGACATATGCTTTTTCATGTCAGGCCCAAAAGTATTTTTCGATTACTTTTGGCTTTTGCCGAGGTTTGCCCGGGCGAAAAGAAGGGTGCAGCTAAGTAATTAAAAGTCCACCAACAAGTACACATCTCTCTCTGTCTCTCAACATTAGTGGTAAGCTATCCTGGATTTTTTTTTTATGAGATTGGGCACCAATTTCAACTCACTTGTTATGAGACAAATTTCATACTCTACATATGAGAACAATCTTCGGATTCTACAATAAACCAAACATAGGGAGTTGAAGATTCAAAGAAAACAGGAGACTTACAGTATATATATCCCTTTCAGTTGCAGACACAAAAACAGTCCTGACCAACTCAACAGCTTCTAATTCTGAAAGTGGAGTAACGGCATCCTGTAAGAATAAGATAATGAGTAAGATAAAATGCAGAGAAAAGCCAAACTTCAGAAGATTAAGTAAATAGTTCTTGCCTGTGCAGGCAATAAGAGCGGGCTAGGAGACTTCAGTTGGTTATCTAGAAAAGGCATTATTAGAGTTGAACCAGATCCCTGTGCACCGTAGCCGACCCTCTCATAGGAACCCACAGCGTCATATGTAAAGACACAACCCTTTCCTGAGATTTCCAGTAAAAGTTGAGATTGTTCAGAAAGTTGTATCGTAACTCAGCTCACAACTGGAAGGTTGTAATTGCATACCTTCATTATCAAGGCCACCTAGGACATTAAAAGCATAATAGGGGAAGAAGCGCTTGTAGTAGAGGGTATTGGAAAGAAGTTGAGCCATAGCGGGACAGCTCATTTGCTTGTTGTGCTGATGCTGATAGATCTGTATCAAACACAAGGAAAGACATTTCAATGAAAAACAGAGCATCTTCATAGCATATCTCCTGTGAACTTTCAAGGACACAATAGCATTGATTCTTCAAATCCAATAGAAAAAGGACTATCCACTAAAAACAATTAAATAGGTATCCGCTAAAAAATTCATGCTTTCGATTGATAAGTAAATATCTGGCCAAAAAGGAAATAAAAATCGACAGGTGAACAGAACATCAACCAAACAACCCAGGACACTGTATTATCCATCATCACAAATTGCAAAATCCTAACATATCAAGTTGCGGAACAGAACAAACTCCTGTAAAGAAGGCATAAATCAACAAGTCGAGAAACACTGAAAGAAACCTTAATGAGAAAACTGGAGCCTAATGAAAAACATGATCATAGACTAATTAAAGTTCAATAACAAATGAAATGCATCCTAATCTCTCATTTCCAATAGTATTAGTTTCACTAAATGTAGTATCAACTCATAGGAAATGGCTGAAAAACATCAACTTATTTATATCTCCCGCAATGGGAATTAGATTGTTACTCTCCCTATATCCGGTCGTTTTGTTCTATCCAACCAGAAGAGGCAGATGAATAACATCTAAGTTATAGAACCAGATATCATAACATGCACACAATTGTTTTAGTAGAATCCATGTTCATTATACCAATTGTAGAAAGTCAAGAGGTTGTTTCCTTAGCGACACCTCCCATCTTTGAGAATTGGAGGTCAAGGATTTGAACTTTGGACCTTTAGGTGGTGTGAGAAAACAGTATAGCTTACAGGAATCAATGAGCCTTTCTCTTATATAACCAAAAAATTCGAAGTCTTAACCCAAAACAATAAATAACTTGTACAGCAACTGGTATACTTTGCTCATTGTCCAATAAATACTTCCAAGTTTCGCTTCAGCTATAACAACCTAATGTTCTAATCCTCCTTGGAAGAGAAAAAATACACCAGATGAATTTTTCCCGCCTAATTTTCTTCAACCCACACAAGTTCCTTGACCAAAGCACATCAAAACAAATCTCACACAAAATATTATAAACCAAAATAGTGTGCTCTCTGATTTTGCGAAGAGATCCTTTGAAACTTCAATCTTCGATTCACACGGCGACACACCCAAGCAATATGACATTAGAACCTTTAGAACATGGATAAACCCTTAACAACTGACCTAAGTTAAACTGCCATGACCACCAGAAATAAAAGGAAGTAGCTTCCATATCCACCAGAAGACCCAAGTGTTTAATAAAAATGAATCAATAGGACGGGTCAAACAAACCAACCCACCTTCCTTCCCCCAGCGTCTCTTCCCACCAGAACACCTTACAGCATCATTTAACAGAACACCTTTCAAGGCTACTTGCAATTTATGTAAGCTAACTAGCTTATAACATCAAACTGAACCACAGATCAGTCCCAGCTACTCATGCCCATCGCACAACTGATGTTTGTTGATAACACACTAAAATCATTTAAATGAAACATGCAGCAAGAGTAGACTGCTTGCACCAAGGAGATATCAAACATGGAACTCCACATTAATGGCCAAGCAAAACGTAAACGAGGAAAAAAGTTACAGTACGGTAAAATAAGGATATCTATGCAAGTCCAGATACGGCTCTTCTTTCTCGAGGAGTCAGAGATGTATTCAAAGAAACTAAAAGTCTCCAGAGAACTCACCAAATGCCTAGCAGCTAAGTGCTTCTGTAAGGCTTTGATATCAGCTTGAAACCCAGAAGAGGCCAGCACAGCTTTGTCAGCCCTGGAATACATATAAAAAAAAACGAAAAACAAAAAAAATGAAAAAGGAACGTCAAATATTTAAGCCCCCAAAAGAGCCATATGTCCAGTGAAATATACACACAAAAAACCAGAAATAACAGAAGCAATGTAAAGCGAAACAGATTCCAACTCGTTCTGCCACAGAGAATGAAATCCCTTTAAATCATCTATTGAAACCAAAAACTTGCCAAGTGACCAAGCTAACACTTATTAAGTTCTGGAATGACTCGTGTGGCTATAAACTCAACTTACTTCCCATTTCTAATTAAGAAGAAATCAGTTTCGACGAACCATTTGAACAGGATAACCCACTTTCCAGTTATAAGCAAAGAACCATTCGACTTATCTAGCAAATCCGTCCGATGAGACACGCAGAATCAATCCACCAACATAAAATTTTCAACCTTGAAAGGCAACACAGAGAGAGAGAGAGAGAGAGAGAGAGAACAAGATAAAGAAAGCAGCAGCTCCTCCAGAGCCTACCAAGCTATTGCAACCTAACTCCCCTCCCAAGGATTCTGGGCAAACACCCAACAGTTCAAAAAAGAAAACATTTTTTTGACCCCCGACCCCGCGCCCATACAAATCTTCAACATACGAATGGCCGTGCCACCGAGATCCTAAAAGCCCCATCGCATCGCGGAGCAAGAGCATCAAACAAGCACCGATATTCGGCCCAAAAGAGAGCATCAGGAAATGACTACAAAGGGGATGGGGGCGGGGGCGCGTTACAGTTTGGAGATTTTGGAGTAATCGCGGGTGAGGATGCTGTAGCCGGTCGACATCCGGGTGTCCGCAGCGATGACGCAGTAGTCCTTGCCCGCTATCGCCACGCAAGATCTGCGCCGGGGAAGAAACACGGAACACAAATCAGCGGAAGATTTCAGCAGCCGAACAACATCGAATCGCCCCCCAAGATCATCAGACAC